GCGGTAGCACAGCAGAAGGTCCGTGGCGTCCGCTCCGTGTGCCCGGCTCGCCTCTCTCCCGCGCCGCTCCTCCGGGCGCTTGTTTATGGCTGGAGTCCCCGCGCCGCGCGCTGCTCATTGGCTGCACCCCCACCCTCGGGCCGGCCGGCCCCCTCCCCTCCCCCTCGCCTCCCTCCGGGGCTGCCCGGGCCCTTCCTCCCTCCACGCCTCCTCCTCCTCCTCCTCCTCCCCCTCTCCTTCCTCCGCAGCCCCGGCGTACCCAGAGCCGGCCCTGCGGGCCGATCATCCGGGCTCGGGCCCGGGCCCCCGCGAGCGCGCTACGGCCGGGAAATCCGAGACAGTCGTAGCGACGCTAGTCCCCGCCGGTACCGGGCCACGAGGGGGCTAGCCTGGGAGCACCGTGGGGGCGGGACGGCTGCACCTCGGGGGTGGTAGAGTTTTGAGTTCGAGAGAGTGGTGGGGATCCTAGCCGGAGCGATTGCTGCCGCCTAGGCTGGGTGGGCGCTGGGGCTGGATCGAACGAACCCCAGGAAAGGGAAGCGAACGCGTGGAATTTCCGCAAACTGGACGAGAATCCATCTTCCACCCGAGCTGGGAATAGACTTTGTAAAAGATATTATGTAATGGAGTCTTGGGAAGCCCGAGACGTCTCCAGCCAAACAGAGGCCGGTGGGTTTGAGTGCTTTAAAATGGTCTGGGTAAATGATTCTGAGCCGGGACAGTGGTGGGGAGGGCTGGAGCTTGAGTTGAATTTTAATGATCCACGTTCTGTATGTCTGTGCAGAGGTGCTGTATCATGGGAGGGGTGAGTGACTGGGAAGTAACCGAGCTCAATGCTTCTCTCCGGAGTAAGGCTCAATACTGGCTTACAAGTCTTAACATGACGCTAGACTGGGCGAGCTCACGCATCCTTACATGCCCACCTGACGCTGCTGTTTTGTTTCTCAGGCTCCTGAGCAAAAGAGGTGGGCTTTCCTTCCCCTCTTCCCATGATGCCCCCTTAAAAAAGATTTATCGTGAATGTATTAATAAAGACGATGTGTGGTGAAATAGTCTTTGTGGTGAGCCAAGAAACAACGGAAGAGGGGCACTGTGCACGTGTGAGGGGTTTCTCTTCAACAGATTTCACAGGAGATTCCCAGAGATGGCTCTGATCACTGATCAGGATAGAACCATGGGCTCCTTAGTGCCCTCCCCCGCCCCCAGGAGGATAAATAAAATACATTGGCAACAACAACAAAAAAGTCATGTGAACCGTTCTGTAAAACAGGGCTGGTGCTGGGGCAGGTGTGGAGTGAGTGTGGCTGCATGGCACGATTTTGCTGCAGATAGGTGGCAGCCAGCGAGACCAGGAACATCAGGACTAAGGAACCCAAAGTTAATGGCACCAGTGTAAGGAGAAAGGACACAAAGATGCCTTTGGAATCTTGTTTGTGGAACAGATTTTGTACTTGTGGAGAATGTTTTGGTTTAACCACGGTAATCCTCAACAAAAAAGCCAAAGTCACCAGTGGAATATTCCCCCTGACCAATGACATCAGAGAGCTATAAACATGTGTACTGAAGAGAGGAAGTGTTTCATCAGTTACACTGATTGTTGAAGAAGGAGGGCATAGGGAAACATCAATACTGGAAAGGGGGAGGAAGCACCCCCTTTTCTTGGGGTTTTTAAACTGCTGTTGGGGTGACTATTTCCCAAGCGCATTTGTGGCACATTTTACATGGTCAGACTAGATCATCTCCGGAGGCCCTCACATCCTGCAGCCCTGTAAAAAAGTAAGGGGTGAAGTCATTTACAACTTGCTAGGTTTCCCTTTGGCAAAAGCAAACATTAGAGCACACAATAAATGTTTGTGTCTTGGTGCCTCGCGAGGCACTAGCACTTCACAGTGGGATCTGCCAACAATCTCTCGTCACTGGACCTTGGTAGGACATCCCTTCCACCCCTGCAGAGGTTATCTGCGCTTCTGTTCAAGTGCAAGAATAAAGACATTATTAAAAACACAGCAGATAACATTGTTAGGCTCGGGAAAAGCCAAGGTCAGGAAATAGAGAAGAGACAGGAGTGAAAAGACAGTGTCGTTTGAAAGGGGTGTGCTTACCTCTGTCTGAAGTTTCACTCTTGGTTTGGGTATTTGTTTTTCTTGCCTTTTCGGGCAGTATATTAAAGATTGGGAACCACTTCAGATCTGAGCATAGGCAAGCATCAATATGGTGGCCACTACCCCATCCTTCGTGAGACTTCATAGGTAGACATAGAAGACAGAAACATGGTGAGAAAGATCGACAGGTTTGGAAAGGACCAACTTGAAACAATCCAGTTACATGGCGTTCTTTGCCATAGAACTAAGTCATAGGGGTGAGCAGGATTCTCGAATGCAGTAACTAGTGCCATGTGAGAAACCTCCGAGGCTTTACCCGATTATCTGAGACCAGTACTTGAGCTCAGTTAAAACATTTCTTTCCTTCGATCCTGCAAGATATTATAAGGTGTCCAGAAACTGAGGCAATGCCAGTATAGAAGAGATCCTGTCATCTTCAGGGACCAGACTAAGGGTAAAGAAAGAGGGTAGTTCAGCTTAACATGATTAACAATTGGGTACTAAGTTGGAAAATAGGCTGGGAAAGGTTACCTGGGGCCCTGAAAGACATTTAAAAATATTAAGAAGCAGGGCCTACATGGAATATGGTTTAATGCCTCTTTCTCTGAGAACCCTTAAACATATTCCCTTATCTGGCATTCCAAAGTGCCTCTTTGGAATGTAGTAGTGATCATATTATAACACAATTATTAAGCACCTCTAAACTCAAGATTGCCAGCCCATTGGAGGGACCCATACTTAAAACAGGCATGAGTTGAAAAGAGAATTATACACAAAAAGGCATTTGGATATTTTCTCTGACCGGTCTCCCTTAGTAAACATCTCTAAACTAAGCCCATGGAAGGCCGGGTTCAGGACGGAAGGTGTCTTACAACCTGGAAGAGTTGGGGGATGACAGCCCCTAAGCAAAAGAAGTTAAGAGTCTTTCTGATGGAGAGCTGGAGGGAAGAAACAGTCTGCCCTCTGTTGGCCACTGGGCAGGTTGGATGCACTGTGAAAATCAAAGTGCCCAGTTGGGGACCCAGCAGACAGTGGGACAGTGTGCGCCCTCCATAGAGATCCTAGGAGAACCTCCCAGGCTGATGCAGTGTGTAACCAAGCTTTCCTACTGGAGTTCACATTTTCCAGGATGGGCCTGCTGTTTATGTGTCCCCGAAGCGAGAAGAAAAACGTAGACATTGTCCTTTGAGTAAGACACATGCATTATTAAAATAGAGTTATACAGCCCGGCACAGTGGCAGGTGGCATGCGCCTTTCATCCCAGTACTCGGGAGGCAGAGGCAGAGGCAGAGGCAGATGAATCTCTGTGAGTTCGAGGCCAGCCTGGTCTACAAAGCGAGTTCCAGGACAGTTAGGGCTGTTATACAGAGAAATCCTGTCGTGAAAAACAAACAAACAAACAAACAAGCAAACAAGAATTGAGTTATACAAGAGAAAAAAAAAACCTTTTTGTTTTGTGTAAAAAACACATTGCATATATCTCACAGGAAAACATGATGACGACGACAATGAGTCAGGCTCCCTTTATCCTGTTCCTCCTGGCTCTGTGATCCCTAACTGGGTTTACCATATAAGGATACTGACGAAAGTCTAGGATCAGATAGTTGAGATCAACTTCTAGATTGAGGACTCAGCCACCCGCTTTTCCGCTCTTGATCTGATGCCTGGGCTCTGCTGTCACCGTCCCATAGGTCACCTTTCAGGGATTTCTGGTTTCATCTACTTGGTCAGTGTACAGCAGCTGCTTCAGAGACACTAACTGGGTAGCAAGACCTGAGCACGGAACAAGGATTCTCTTTAGGCTTCCATCAGATCTTGCACTTTCTTTTTACAAGTTTCAACAGGTGCTTTTGCATTCCAAAGCAGTTCTCTCCTCTGTAAAACAGAGACAAGAACACTAACTTTACAGGGTGTTGTATCGGGGAAATCCACATTCTCCTATACTGTTTTTTATTGTGAGAATCTAACTGAGCACATTTCCAAGTTTAAAGCTTGAAAGGGTGACTCATCCAGCATGGCTCCAGGGATCGACAGAATGCATAGAGAGGGAAGGAAGAAAAAGGCAGACACAGAAAAGCTGGGCTCAGGAAGACTAGGCTCTCTAGTGGAGAAGCTACAACCCCTTGGAAGCTCAGGCTGTAAACACCACGGGGTGGAGAACAGCTACACTGGATACTTTCTGCACACATGATCAACATCTGCTCATGGACCAGAGGGATGCTTCGCCACCCCTCTGGGCCTCATCTAGGGAAGACTTTGCCACTTCTGTGGGTCTGAGGCATTGGTATGTCTGTGCTCATGTCAACAACACAACATTCACTCAGAACTTGACTCTCTCTCAACAGGATAGAATCCCAACTGTCTATTTTTTTTAATCATATATTGCTGTGTAACATCTGCCTGATTTTTATTTACTTAAAAAAAACTTTCTGAGGGCCTCTGTTAGATCGGCTGTGGCAGTCTGCATTCATCTTGGGGTTTTTAGATTTTGTAATAGTTTATCAATCTCCTTCTCATCTTGAACTTAATTTAAGGGGCAGTGATTGATGATGATGGTAATAAATAATCGCTAACACTTTTTATCTTATGCTCATGGGTATTTTGCCTGCATGCATGTCTGTGAATCTCTTGCATGCTTGAAGCCTCTGAAAGAGCAGCTGGTGTTCTTAACCACAGAGCCATCCCTCCACTCTGCCCCTATCATTTATAAAAGCCAGGATGCTCAGCATTTCATAGAGGTCATTTTCATTAGTCTACAAAACCTTCTATCAGTCCAAAACTGGATCTCACATTCCATTTCAAGGATGGCTTAAGTTGTCTCCTTTATGAACTCTCAGAGATCTGGATGAATCTCTGCCTCCCGGGTGCTAGGATTAAACGTGTGTGCTACCACTGCCTGACTTCTGTGTTTAATATAGTGGCTGCCTTTGTCCTCTGATCCCCAGATAAGCTTTATTGGGGTACACAAATGAAATATCACCACAGGTGCATGTCTTTAAGCCCAGCACTTGGGAGGAAGAGGCTGGTGGATCTCTGTGAGTTTGAGGACAGTCTTGGCTACAGAGTCAGAACCTGTCTCAAAAAACAAAAAAGAAAAGAATAACTCTCAGCTCACCAATTCCACTTGTTCAGGGATTTCTAGGACTGTGGGCGATACCACCCATATTAGGCAAGAACAGAATGGAAGAAAAGACAAAGACCAGGGAAGAAAGAAAGAGAGGAGAAAGAGAGGGGAGGGAGGGGAGGAGGGAGAGAAGAGAAGAGGAGGAAGAGGAGGGGAAGGAAGAAAGGAAGGAAGGAAAAGAAACATTTGCTTCACCATTGAAATATAATAATTGACTGTATTTGTTACATAACTGTGAAGACTTATTTTTCCTATAAAATGTGAATTATAAAGTAAGATCTATACATCCTAGTTCATAATTGCTTTATTGCTCACACTGGTCTTTAGAATCAATAACTGCATCTTTTTGCTACTGATGAAAATGCCATTGAAGGGGTGACATGTTTCATGGGTGGTGTATGAATATACCTTTAAGATTTTTTTTTTGTTTGACACACATTTTTCATGGTCACAAATAAAATTATGGTCACCATCAAATCATCAAATACTTGTCTGATTATTTTCTTTGGTAAACTCATGAAATGGAATTAACTGTGGGTCAAAATTTATCCCATTTTGACATGCATTGGCAAATGGCTCTCCAGAAACATTTTATCCACACGTATTCCTCCAAACTGTGAAGATTTGCACCTTCCCAGTGTGAGGCCCACACATTAAAAAAATCTTTATTCATTGCTGTAAAGAACCTTAGATGATAAAAATTTCAGCTTTTCAAACTTCAAACATTGTTTTCACATTCATTATTCCATTAAATTTTAATTTTTTTCAATGTTACGAGATTTCATCTACGTATCACCAAATAGTTCAGTTTTTTATCAATTACCAACTCTTGTAACATGACAAATTGTATGTTGCATGGTTTTTAAGGGAAAGTAGTATGTAGTCAACTACAATTTTCTCCTAAAGAATGCTTTTTAAAACTAGTCTAATTAAAGTAAATACATTATTGAGATCTCTCCCCTAAAAAAGGATAAGACTAGTTGAGATATTATAGGCTAGCCATTCTAATCTTCTTGATAGCTACAAAAAGTAGAGGAGCCAGGCTAGGTGGAACACACCTATAATCCCAGCACTTGGAAGCTTGCAGCGGGAAGATCAGGAGCTTAATTGGGCTATAGCTCAAAAACTGGAGTTGGGGAAGAAGGACAGAGAGAGACAGAGGGAAGAAATGACAGTGTAAACAAAATGGAGAATAGAGGTCTCAGGGTCATTCTATTGTGAGGAAGAGAGATTTCTACTTCCTGTCCTGCCACACAGCCCCTCCGTATTCCATACTCATCTCCTTTTCTAATGCAAAGTTTCAATACCCTGATAGATTTCATAGATTTAAATGGCGACCATTCTTCCTCAAGTCTGTATGACATCTCTTTTAAGGAATACAGTCAAAAACTTTAACAATGATTTCATTTATCCAACAGTCTTACAGTGTTTGTTTGGGAGTCGCCATATGTAGTCCTTTGGGGAAACAATCCCCATTGCTTGTCATATGTGACTTGCCATGATTTTCTTCTCTCAAGTGGCTCTAATTTTTTATAATTGATGTGGAGTTCATCCCTAAAGGAAGATTTGCCACTGTTGGAAGTATTGGAAAGAATCAAAAACTTGTTCTAGAGAAAACAACAAAAGATTCAACAACAAAGGTAGGCAATGGTAGTACTTGTGAAATAAATACACAGCTTTTCCAAGTGATTGCTGATGAGGAAATATTACTCATCTAAATGCAAAGTTGATATGATAACGTTCACTAGAATATTGATATTTTGGTCTTCATCGTCTCAATATCATGTGACTACTTTGTTGTTGAAGATGAAAACTCCATGCCTCTTTTCTGGTGGGGAATGGTAATATTCAACAAAATCTCTGTTCCTTGTCCTCATTCTTGGACATACAGCTAACCAACGCTCATCTACTCCTCACAGGTAGATGGAGCCATGAAATGTGAAATGAAGTGACTCAGGCTCTAACATACCTGACATCAAAGGACAAAACCCTCTCCATCATCGTACATGTTGTTTTGTTTGCTTTCTGTTGGGTGGTCTTAAGGCTTTCTATAGAGAATTCTGAAGCACTAGTAGATTTTAAATCCATCAGAAGAATGAATTCTCCATCCTTGCATGACTGCGTGAATAGAGTTTCCAGACCCCCATACACATGCCTCACTCAATCTCAATGGATTCTAAATTGAATGAGAAATAAACCTCTACTATGAAAAATCACTGAAGCCTTAAGCTTGTTTGTTTCATTAGTTGTCTTTCAAAATATAATATTTCAGTTTTTATTTAGCAATCATTGTTTACTCATGCTTTGCCTTTTGATAGGCGTTGTTAGAAAAAAATGCTGTTTGTATAAATACTTATGACTAACTTACACTTGTTTGTTGAGTATGTAATGGGAATCCAATGCTTAAATTACTAATATTTACATTTAAAGTATTTTCACTACTCCGGCGTTCCAAAGAGGTCCATAAACAGGTTGTTGGTACTGAAGCATAGAGATTAAATTAAGTAACATCAAAACTTTGCACTTAAGTGAGAGCATGGCCATCTCTCTGATGCTACACAGTAGGCTTCAATTCCTGAGCTTTCCATGACTTCATTGTGCGAGACCAAGAGCCTGTGTGCTCCATGGAGAATGGACTCTTCAGACTTTCATCTTTTTCCTTTATCCAAGTCCCCCAGAGTCTACCAAGCCCACTCTGAAATAGCTGTATGTGCTTTCCCCCCCGGTTGACACTAGTATTCTCATTTCATCGAGATCTAGAGATTGATTGTAAACTCTAGTACTTCCTTCTCCTTACCGCTGAACTTAAGCGTATTTTAATGTCCCAACGCTGGGCCCTGAGTTCATCGTACCCACATTCGCTGTCATTGCTCTCTGATAGCTTAATGTGCTTCAGTTATTGTACAGTCTGTCTTTGGTATACAACACAAGCCTCCTGTTCAAATCCATATTAGATTTGATAAACAAAATGAAAATCATTATCCAAAAATCTCATGCCAAGTGTTCTATGACTATATGGTGAATTACTGTCCTAAAACTGGCAAGCAGGAAAAAGCAAGACTGAGCTTGTAAGCATGAAACCGTGAAGGAAGAAAATACAGGAAACAGATTCCAAAATATTTCTATCACTAGCTAGTTATTGCCAATGATCATGTCATGTTTCCCATTTAGATTTTGCCAAGTAGAACTAACCAGTGATGCCAATGCAGGTGTTTTAAAAAGAGGACTATTAATTTTTCCCCTGACCAATAATTGATTAAATTAGGGCAGTCCTTGATTATGAGGATGATGATGATGATGAGGAGGAGGAGGTGGCGCTGTGCCACAAGATGCTTTAATGGAAAGAACATGATCTTAGACATTGGATTGACCTGAGATCAAATTCTAACTCTGATCACCATTTTCTATGTGAATTTGGATAAGTTATCTAGCCTGGTTTTAATTTTTCTTATTAGTCACTAAAGAAATTAGTATCTATAGGACAAGAATATGTGATAGACGCTCAACAAAGAAAATTTATTTTTTACTTTATGTTTATGTGTACATAGTCCATATGTGTTCATGTGCCCATGGAGGCCACCAGAGGGTAGTGAATCCCTTGAGCTGGAGTAATAGGAAGTTGTGTGCTGGGAAGTGAACCCAAGTTCTCTCAAAGAACAGTAGTAGTCTTAACCACTGGGCCATCTCTCCAGTCCCTATGATAATATTTTTATGATGAAAGTTTTTATTGAAAGCACAATATCATCTACTG